ATTTACCATCACAGCTAATGTTACATCCCAAATACACAAATTTTTCACTTGTTTAATTTCCCTGTTGCCTACCATAATTTTTATTTTAGGATTTATTTCCAATATGGAAACAACCATTCCCTTAGTCTTTACAGCATTTAGTCTTCAACCACATTTTTCACTTTTTCCACTAATTAGTTAACAGGTTTTGTAATGCCTCTTCACTATCTGTAATGAGAGCAGTATCATCTGCATAGCATATATTTGACAATCTGTACTGTACTTTACAGTTGAAACTCGATTTAAGCGCTTGGTCATTTATGCGGTACCTTGCCAGAACCGGGATGCCCGATTTATGCGGTGAATTTACTAATTTACGCGGGTGAAGTATAATTTGTTTATTTACTGAAGATATTTGTTTTAGCTCATAAAATTCATACAAATTACCCGGCCAGAATATAATTTCCATTGCTGGAATTCTTATAAGATTGTGATTATTTTAAATATAAACATCATGGAATTTGCATTAGACATAAAAATTTTAGATCTAATGTAAGAATTTTGATTACAAAGAGCCAAAATTTTATCTTTTGTGCAAAATATATGACGTTTATATTCAAAATATTCCTGGTCTTGCAAGGAATCCAGCAATGTCAATTATATCATCCTAACTTTAGTCTGAGGTATTATTTATTACTATACCTTAAAATCTAGTGTTTTCACCCAAACATTTCTCAGAGAGGGAGGAAGCGAGAGTGGGGTGGAGTCGAGTCCATTATTTGAATGGCCATTAACCTGGCAACTGTATTTCTCTTAAATATTAATTGTGTGTGCATACCAAAGTAGGTATTGTGTCGGAAAAAGTGGAGTTTGGGAGTCGGCCCAGTCTCTATTCCAATTAATCCCATATGTTCTGTTATTCCATTTACGCGTTTCTCGTTTTACGTGCTACTCCGCGGGTTCAATTGACCGCGTAAATCGGGGGACCACTGTACTACAGTATTAACTTTTAGTCCTTCATTATTATTTAAGAATTCTGAATATATATTACAGCCTTGTCTTGTTCCCTGTGTAACTGTAAACCAATTATTAAGTTCATTATTTACTAACACTGCAGCCTCCTGTTGTTAGTAAAGACAGACACTAGCCTACATCCCCAGAATGATTCTGGGTGCTGGGGAAAGTTTTCCCAAGAGTTTAAACTACCGAAGTCTGTAAAAGTACCGTATTTTGCGGAGTAGTAGACGCTGCATCGTAGAAGACGCACCCTGATTTCGGAAATGTAATTCTAGGAAAAAACTGTCTACACTTACTAACCGACACCAGTGAAACCGTTGCTTGATATACAACCCTTTTCGCACAAGTACACACACCTCTTTGAATATTATCACTTAGAACTGCTTATCAGTCGTCATTTTCATCAATTTTTAATAAAAAAATCTGTATAAGAAGTGGAAATCTTAAATACAGCACTCATTTTCTACACCTGGTCACCTCTGCATCTAGCGGGCTGTAGTGTTTACATTCTTTCTCTTGATTTTGTCGGTATGACAATGACGAGAAATATTTTCCATCAGTAGAAGGTAAGCAAATGTAAACATGTATATCAACGTCTAAAGAAAAAATTTTTTTATGTTCTTCACTCAAGTGTGAAGAAACAAAAATTCCTGCACTTTGAGACCAGCAGACAACCTTTTTCAATTCCTCAATAGATGGCACTGCCGCACCACTGCCATTAGTAAACAAACCGCACAGTGGCAAGGGTTGTGTAGCTGCAGCCGTTTATTTTTTTTTCTTACCTACTAAGAAAATAATCGTATTTTTTGCAGTATATCAACAATATTAGTTAAGTAAATTGTTTTATAGTATAGAGAATACTTGTAATTGCTAAGTAATGACGTAACAATCTTTGTAAGGGGCTGATTTCAGTTGACCCTAAGAAAACCTCCGCTACAACCCATCAACTAGCGTCATGGAAGACGCATGGTAATTTTCAAGGCACATTTTTGTAATAAAAAGTGCGTCTTCTATGCCGCAAAATACGGTAGTTCTATTTTAGTTAGAAACTCCATTTCTTTACTCGAATAACCCTGAATAGTTTATTTAAAAGTTTGATTAATTAAATATATCTTAAAAAAATTAATTTCTATACGATATGGATATGTGAGGCACCACATGAATAAAGCTGTGTGTTACAGAGACGACTGGTATTTTCCACTAGCAAGGAGCTGTGGGGGATTAGTGGGTTTCCTGTTACTGACTTAACCTGATGCAATGTCAGGTCACCTATTATTGGCTGGGGGATTAGTGGGTCTCATGACCTGAAGATGTCTTTAATACCATTTTTTTACAAAAAAATAATCCTGAATAGTCTATTTAAATGTTTGGTTAAATAAATTTATTTAAAAAAACACAAAAAGTCTATAAGATACACAAGTGAATGGAGCTGTGTGTTACAGCATGGAGCTGTATTTACTTACGCAAACACCACTGTACATGTACAGTGCAATACAATATAGTAGTGTTAATACTGTAAACAAAATACAGTAATGTATACTACTGTACTCACAAGCAGATGCTGTTATCCTGAACCTAGAGTAGGCAGACAATGTCCACTCAGCTGAATGTAATATGTAACTGTAATCACGTTTTAACACTTGTGATGGACGTGGGGTGGGGAATTAATGGGTCATGTTACTGACCTGACCTGATACAATTTCAGGTCACCCATTGTCAGGGTGGGTGATTAGTGGGTCTCATGACCTCAAGATGTCTTGAATAAGGATGAAAGCTAAGTTGCTCCAGTGTTGCCCAATTACTGAATGTATCAGTACAGTATACCTAACTGTATTCACTTTTTAAGTACTTAACACTGTATTCTTGGCTGATTTTGGTCTGGTACAGTAATGCACAGCACTGCACAACACAAAATGTACACAAAAATAGCAGATTGGGAGTGAACAACCTTCTACAATGGCAACAGAATATGAACCAAGTGATTGAAACAGTTAGACCACCCATGTGCCTGGCATGTGGGGATGTATTAAAGCATGATGCAAGCTCTTGGAATTCCCTGAAAATTTATTCCCAGGCTGAGAAGAGAGAAGTTTGGAGTGAGTTTCCAGAATTTTCTTGGAATTTACCAGAAAATCTGTCTGATTTTCAATCTCGGAAAATTGTCACAAACCCGGAATTGAGAGAAATTTTCTGGAAAAATTCAGAGCAAATTTCAATTCCAGCTATTGGAGAGTTCCGGTTAACAGACACAGATGTTTCCTCCCACACACACTGCTCCATTTAATTGAATCTTCACTGCCTCCATTCTCTTGCTTCTAATAAACAAGTATTTCCCATAATCTAACATTCCTGACTTCAGATAGGCAGAGGTGTAGTGCTGCTGTGGGAATGTGTGGAAATGGCGTTCTTATTTTTCTTGGTAGGCGGAATGGTGTGTCTTCACTTTTTCAAATATGCCCCGTAAATCTGAACTTGGAAATCTCTAATGTTATGAAATTTTAATTCCCACCCCTAGAAGAAATATGAGAAAGAATTATTAACTTTCTGTTTCTTTTAGCTTCAACTGAGGCAATGCTAGCCTATAAACTTTGGGGCACTGAGATTTTGCGGCATTGCCGCATTATTTAATTATAAAAAACTCACCCCCCCCCCCAACAAAAGCAGCTCCCAGCCTCCCTCCCATTTCTTACTGGCCTCTCCCACACTTGGACGTTAGTATTACAACTGTCAAATACCTATAAGCTAGTAAAAAAATAAAAACATGTCGAGTCTTATTTAAGTTTGTCTATTAAATATTTTTCAGTTCAGATTTATTCTAATTTGTTGGTATAATATATTCTTCCCTTAATAAGCAGCTGAAACATTTTTAAATATTTAAAATAATGAGCACTCTGAAAAATCTGGTATTCCCACCATAGTGCAAAAGTTCAAGGTGAGCCTAAATAAATTATTTTTAAATTGTATTTAATAAATTGTGTTGTTTTCAGACTGTAGAATCATAATCTACACATCAACATTATTTACATTATTATGGGTATGATTATGCATGCACAGTTTTTAATTTGTTGGCCATAAAAATGTCAGTTGGTAAACAAGTTGAAAAGGGCTGGGAACAAACCTCTGATCTAAACATTCACCATCTAATTACAATACAAACCCACTGTTGTGTTGCTTACTCCATCCATGTACTGATGTGTGTAGTGCAAGAGGTGTTAGCCTATTGAATAGCCTGCATCTGGTGAGACAGTTGCCACGGTGTACCAGTTAAATTTTGTTTAGTTAATCATTCTAGTTGTTAGCTATTTTTATTGATCATACTGGATGTTATATCTTTAATATAATGACACTGGAAATATTGCATCTTCAACCTTGGAATATATCCTATTATCCAGTGCATATGGCCTCAAAATATCCCTGAATTGGTCAGATTTAAAAACAAATTCCTAGGGGCTTACAGAGCTCCCAGGAGCCCCAAATGCATGGGCCTTTTGCACTTGCCATTGTCTCACCCGCTTCTGAGTAACACTTTCAAAATGCGTTCTCTCACTCCTTTATTTAGCACTACACCACTGCATATAAGTACGAATATTTTTTTTTTAATCCTGCACTACTCTTTTGAAGTGTTTTGAACCTCAGGTTTTCCTGCACAGAGTTAGGTCAAGTATGCATATCTTCATCAACATCTTAAATCTCCAGCTACTAAAAGATAACTTATTCTTTTGTTATTTTACTTACCCGGTAATTTTATCAAACCAAATACAGTACAGTTACTAGAAATTAAATATAATTAAAACTAAAAAATACTAAACATTTTGTTTGTTTACATCTAATAAAATTTAAGGCATACATGCCTTCAGAAAAGACAAACAATATCATGCAAAAACATCTTAGATACTGTATTTAAGCTTTAAAAAGACTGGACATCATGCAAGAAAGCATTAAACATTGTATTGAAGCTAAAAAAAAAGGTGAGTGTGCATCAGGCCACAAAGTGAATTATTTACTTAGTGAAAGGGGAACGAGGTGATGGTGGTGGTGATGGTGGTGGTCAACTAGATCTGTTCTGTAGTAATCGCTTCACCTGCATACTCCTTCCTTCTGTCCAGCGGATGTTTGCAAGCAAATGGGAAAGGAAAGAAGAACATTTTGGGGTTAGTATTTAAGTACCAAACACCACTGAAAAATTGGATTATTGTTGCCTTGAGAAAACTATGAAGCACCCAATAGAGCTGAAAGATTGCACTAAAAGGATTAAATATACAGAAAGAAATACACAATGCTAAATAATATCCCTAAACATTGTATAAAGTCTATGAAGGATATGGGAAGCCAATAGGATACAAGATTATAATGACAGAAAATAATCAACTCATCAAAAATATAAACAATGAACAAACTATTCATCTTAAATTTTTTTTATATACTACAGAGGTATCATTATTATAAATTTATGTGGATGCAAGGGGCCCAATGGTGTAGTACATGTGTATGTCCACCCCCCCCCTTTTTTTTCTTTAAATTTCAAGGTACAGGTTGTACCTCTCTAGTCCGGCAACCTCGGGACCTGACCGGTGCCGGACCATGGAAATTGCCGGACCATGGAAATTCACCCTTTTCCTGGATAGATAGTGACTTGTGCTTATGCCTGGAAGCACTAGCACCACTTTCTCTGCATCATGGTCTCTTTGAAGACATATTGAAGGGTTAAATGTCGTATAGTAACTTCTCAAATTTCGCGAGTTTTTAATTCTTAACGTATATTATTGGAACACACAAAAAAATAAATAAATAAAAATTTTGACGGCGGAAACTTGAATTTCGACGGGTTTGAACGGCCCGCCAACGTGCAGACGACGTGCATAATCGTGTAAACAGCGTCATTTCTCTTATGTACAAAAGATTCATTATTGTTTATTACTGAATGTCTTTTTTATTGAATTAATGTTTATGTGTGCAAAATGAGCAATACAATTCATTAATAATACGTAGAATATTAAAACACACGAGGAAATGACACAGCATTGTTTTCGTTGATTACAAAACCAGTGACTGACTGGTTCTACATATAAAACTGAAGAAAATAAGACCTTGGTTGTAGCTGTAGTAAAATTAATATGGTTGTTTTAAGTAATGTTATTTAATGTTAATAAATGGAACAATAGAAGTAGCTAACGATAATGGTAAAGAAAAAGAGAGATCGCATATGTAAGTGCGCATGCGCACACGTGAAAACATATCATCATTACTTTACATAAGAATATGAAAGCAACACTTATTTACTGTTCATATATATTTTAATTAATGTTTCTGAATTTGTTTTTATTGAATTAATGTACGTGTGTGCAAAATTAACAATACAATTTATTAATAATACGTGGAATATTAGAGGAGACGAGACGGCTGCCGGCATTGTTTATGTTAAAGCTTACGAAACCAGTGACTGATTGGTTCTACATATAAAACTGAAGAAAATAAGACCCTGAGTTTAGCTGTAGTAAAATTAATGTAAAAAATGAATATGGTTGCTTGAAGTACCTGTAATGTTATTTAATGTTAATAAATGGAACAATATAAGTAGCTAACCATTAATGGTAAAAAAAAAAGTGAGACTGCTCGTATGTAAGTGCGCACATGTGAAAATATATCGTCATTACTCTACATAAGAATTTGAAAGCAACACTTATTTACTGCTCATATATATTGAAGGGTTAAATGTTGTACTCTGTATAGACAAGCAGAGAGAGAGAGAGCAGCCGAACTGCCGGATGTAAACAAACCTTAATTTCCCCCACATTGGGGCCTGGGGGGCAAAAATTTAATACTCCTGTAATAATAATAATAATTCAGATACCTAAGTAAAAAAAAAAAAAACTGCCTATCTACCTATTGGACAAACTAAAATCGTTCCGGACCACGGGAGTTTCCGGACCACAGAATGCCGGACTAGAGAGGTACAACCTGTAGTAGAAAAGCAAGTCTTAGCCCATGGATAAAGCAGTACCGTACCATGAAGAAGAGCTTTTGTCCTTACAATGATGGTCCTTTCCTTTGGCTCATTCAAATTGATGATCTACCTTGTATTTCCAAGCTATTGCTACTATTATATTCCTTTTCTTTTTGCTTTCTATCACCACTCTACTAATAATTATAATTATCTACCTTATGCTACATGATGGGGAACCTTCATTTTTATATACTGTATTCTGACTTCTTTGTACAATCAAATGATGACAGCTGTACTTCATATGTTTGCTTGTCAAAACCAATACTGTATAAAATAAGATATGGCTGTAAAATTTTGAAAATAGGGTCTAACTCATGATATACCATACACATTTTGATTGAAGGTAATCTTAAGCTGTATTCTCATATTGCACACCAAATTCAACTAAAATTGACCCATCATAATCTTTTTAATGAGAAGTGTGAGGAGTGTGTGTGTGATGTCACCTGGGGACACTCTGCACCTGGTGTTATTGTGAGTATCTGATTCACTTGGGGTCATTATGAGCATTTGTGACATACTAGCCATCTTTCCAAGCCCCTGTGAGTCATTTGACATCATTATGAATGACGGTAAATCACCTGGGGGTAATTTTTAGCACAAGTGAGTCATTTTACATATCATGATGATCTGTAAGAAATGAGTCATTTGATCATCATTGTAATGCCTGGCATATAATTGAGTCCCTTTAAGTCACTTGGTGGTTATTACGATTACCTGTGAGCCACCTGGGGTAACTGAAGAGCCTCTATTGGATGTCTCTCGTCAATATTAAAACTTCTAAGATACCTGGAGTCATTAAGAACAATTGTGGCATTATAAATAAATGTGACACATGACTTCATTATGAGCACCTTTGAAACACATGGCATAACAAATACTTTTGAGACACCCGGGGTCATCATAAACACTTACAAAGACACCAGCAATCATTTTGAACACTAGTTATCATTATAAGCACCCCTGAGACACCTCAGGTTATTACAAACACTTTTGTGTCATTTGTTTCACTAAAACCATTTGTTCAATAATAGATTTATCAGTGATAGGTAAGAGACTTAATCCCCAATTAGACAAGCCTGCTTCTGCTAAGAAAAGTAGGTTCTTGGATTTTCGACATAATGAGGCAGTAGGAAGGTTACAAGAATCTCTACCTAGTCAGTCTGCTTTCTGTAAATTCCTTATTCAAGGTACAGTACTGTATTTTATGAAAATGTTTCTAAACTTTCTGATCTCTCAGCACTTACAAAGAGACAGGAAGGGCAGGCAACTGTGGGTCATCATTCATTGTTTTTAGAAGGTGATACTACAATTTCTGGGCCTGATATTAGCCCAAAAATGATCTCTGAAATAGACGAAGTCTGGGCTAACGTATTGAAAGACTTAACATTCATTCCCGCAGACAGGAATGCTCACAAGTTTATTTATTTTTTTTGAAGTTCCGATTTAATGACAAAAAGAGTTCCTTATATGAACTTTCCCAGTATTTGTCGGCTCCAAAATATGCTGATATAAGTTTTGAAAGAAATTTGAAACCAGTTGCTTCTGCACAGTTGCTTGAAGAATTTAAAATTAGGAAATTGGCAGCAGATAATTGGTCTGCAATCATGATGTGTCAGTTATTGACTAAGTTTGTGCTGGACTATGAGGAACATTCAGAAGTGGATAAATGTTTTGCTGCTGCTATACAAGGGATTCCATAATTCCTGTACAACTCATTTTTAGATATGTTGTTGAAAGCCCAAAAACTAAAAGCCCAACTAAGGAAGCAAGCCACAAATAATGCTTCAAGTGGTAGTGCTTATTTATTGCTACGTTTTACCCCTCTTTCTCCTGCTTTGTTTGATGAACAAACATTGGTTAAATATAGAGCAGCTGTTGAGCAAGCAATTAATATTACTGTTCCCAGGAATCCTCAGACCTTTCGGAAATCTAAAAGAGGAAGGCTTTTCAAGGGAACAGGACCAGCTGCTAGGTTCAGTTATCAACCTAGAGGAAACTTTAGAGGAGGAAACAATCCAAGACGTAGTAGGGGGTGGCCGTTTGTTCAGAAGTGGAAGACCTTATTCCACCACATCAGCGACCACTCCCTTCCAATGAAGCCAGACAGCTGGGTCGTCTAGGGGGTTGGGAAAACAGATGGACTTCTTCCATATGGGCTTACAAGACAATCAAAGGGGGCCTCACATGGACTTGGTTGAGGCGCCCTCCCCTAGCGTTACCAAAAAGGGGTAAAAAACCAACCTCCTTACTCACAGAATTTGAAATTCAACTGTTAAACAGAGGTGTAATAGAACTGTTACAGTTAGAGAAATGTTTCATGTCTCGCCTATTCCCAGTCCCCAAGAAAGGCAGCGACAAATTGAGATGGATTTTAGATCTTTCAGTCCTGAACAAATTTATTACCAAAAAAAAAAAAAAAAGTTTTAAGATGCTCACTTATGGTCATCTGAGGCATCTACTTTTGCCCAATGCTTGGTTCTCAAAAGTGGACCTCGAAGATGCCTATTATCACGTTCCTGTTGCTTCCAGGTACAGAAAGTTTCTAGTGTTCGCAGTGGGGGATGTAACTTATCAATTCACGGTGATGCTATTCGGCCTGACAATTGCGCCGTAAGTGTTTACAAAACTGGCAAACATCCCGGAGAGATTCTTGCGAAGGAGGGCATAAGAACTTTTGCTTATCTAGACAATTGGCTGATAGTGGGAAACTCTTTCGAAGATTGTCAAAGGGCGACCCAACAGACACTAGTACTATTTCAAAACCTAGGATTAAAGATAAACCAGGTCAAATCAAATCTCATACCATGTCAGAAATTGGATTGGTTAGGTCTCCAGTAGGATACAAATCAGCATTTAGTCAGTCTACCGAAGCAAAAGTAACAGATGTGATAAACCAAGTAGAAGCCTTTTGTGCAAAGCAAAAGGTTTCTTGGCACAATTGGGTCTGTTGAATTTTGCCACAATAGTGGTTCCTTTGGGAAAGTTAAGGAAGGAGCAACTAACTCATCTGGGCTCGAAGTTGCTTCATAGAAGCAGAAATATTACTTCTTCTCTCCCTATTCAGATCAAGAATCATCTGTCATGGTGAACA